GGAGGAGGAGGAGGGAGGAGGAGGAGAAGGAGGAGGAGATACGATGACGGGTAGGAAGATGCAGGACCTCGATTAGGATGAAATAATGAAAAGTAATAAGGGAAAATTTGTAAGCAGATGAGAGAACGGATATGCGCGGCTAAGGAAAGATTTGGAGTCACCACTCACCAGTGCGAAGAAATTCGTGTGGCAGTCCTCCAGGCTGGCGCCGTTGGTTTGATGCGACGGATGCGTCATGGCTTCTCCATCGCACGGCTTACACTCATTAGCAACACTTTGCGACGCGGCAGGGCTCTCAGGCCCGAAAATTACACGGCGAAATCGCTATCATTCGAGAACATTTAAGTAGGGTTTTCACTTCTCAATGGCGACCGTAAAATGGCGGACGATGGGAAACAACAAGCGCAGCCGCCCGAGGCGACCCCTCACGATCAGTCCCGATATTTCTGATGGTTGCTACTACGTTCGTTTCGTAAAGTTTCTTTCTCCGACGACGATCGACGATGAAAAATATGGCGGCGCTCATCAGGCATGCCTCTTATGGGATTTCATTCAAAAGTACATCCGCTTTATTTGCGTTCTCTACGGTTAGTAAGAAAAACTTCTAATAAGGTGTTTAGTTTTATTTTTTAACACTTCACCAACGACATTTTCACTTTATATCGGCCAGATATTTTAATCCGACCGTTCTCAACACCATGCACAAATACCAACGATGTGTCACTATCATTTCTACTCTCTCTCTCTCTCACACACACACACACACGCACACACACACACACTCTCTCTCTCTTTCTCTCCCTCTCCTCCTTCCTCTTTCTTATTTATACTGTTTATTCTTTATATTGTTAATTCTTTCTCGTTCACTTTCTTTTTTTTTTTTTTGATCGCAGACAAGGAATGCGCGTCGCGACAGTGCGCGGTTCGCGAGCAAGCTAAGTAGTCCTGCCAAAAATGTCTTCAAGCAGAATCCGAAGTTGGAAGCTACTAAGAAGTCTCTTTCCGCGAAAGGGTAAGCGGTCAATCGCTTTTGAAGGAAACGTAATTTCGTCACGTTACGTCGCGCAGCTGGTCAACCGCCTGAGAACGGGCTGCGGCCATACTGCTCTCCTCTCCCACCTCCTTCGGTCCTCTCCCACTTTTCGCGCAGCGGCCGAGCCTATCCGAGCGCGCAAATCGTGTTCCGATCGTCTACGACTTGCAGGGCTGTCCCGAGCGACTTTCGGTGCCTCGTTCATCGATTTTTCCAGATATTTTGTCATTTCGATTATACATATTCTCATTTTATTTTTTCTAATGATTATTTCAAAGTTGCTCTTATTTGTTATATTTCCATCGATTTTATCTTAATGACGAATAAATAAAAGAAATTGATCTTTAGAAAATTCGAAAAAAAAATGCTTAGGGGCACTGACCCTTTTTTTCTCACAGAATACGCGAGACATCGAGAAACGTAGCGTAGCAATCGTCTCGCGTCTACCTGTCAACGCGGTATGTGGAAGACGTCCGTTCTCCTTTCTCTTTCTCTCTCTCTCTCTCTCTCTCTCTCTCTCTCTCTCTCTCTCTATCGCTATCGCTATCGCTATCGCCTTCTCTCCTTTCTATCTTTCTTCTTTTTTTTCCTGCTTTCTTTCCTTCTTTCTCATTGCTTTGTTATATTCCGCTCGCAACACTATGCGAATCTTGACTAATCAAACGTAAAGCAAACTAGGCTGAATAAATATTTCGCATCTAAATATATTTGATGATGATACCTACAAGGGAATAGATCGGCCTATCGTTTCTTATCAAACGATTAGAAATCTCTGCTCGATGTATTTGAATTTGATTCCAATTGGATGTTCATTTTAGCTAAAATGTATAAAGAAAAAAATGTGATTCGCTCGGGAAGGTAGATGGACGCATTTTTCTCATGTTACAGCACTGGTATCCTTCAGTAACGTATTTCAAAAGGGTGCACTTGAGGGCACTAGCGTCCTATCGGTGGACATCGATCTCCTATTCCTCCGTCTCCCTTCACTCCGTACCGATCCTCCCTTGGTCGAGTGTGCGACATCATCGTTACCACCTTCTACCCTCGCCCACGGGGGAACACATCGCATCGTCGACCGTTTTAGCATGCTGCGCTTTTAGAGCTAGCTCTTTTACCACAAGAGTACATACATATTATAGAAAATACACGCGATTTAAGTATAAAACTTTAATTATAGTTAATAAGACGATAATCTCGAATTTATATAACAATACAATTGATCCCATGCAAAATCAATCCTGTCGTCAAGGAAAACGGTCCACTCTCCAAATAGGATGAACGCCTAAGGGTTTGCTCGAGTATATAGAAAGCAGGGTGAATTGCTTTCTCGATGCCGTCTTCTGTACAAGCTGTAAAAGTTCTCGCAATGTAACAAAAGAGACCGACCGAGATCTAGAGAATCGTTAGAATAGAAGATGGTTTTTACGAAGGGTAAAGGGACCACCTTCACTTTACAACAATATAATATATTTACTTTGACATTTCATTGTGCCAAGCAAAAACGAATTGTTGCTTTACTGTAGAAAAATATAAAAGACAATTGTTGTATGCATAGTATATGTATAATATGTCGAAATAGTTCCTTGATTCTAATTATGGGCACAAACGTGTAACGTTGGATTACAGATATTATTGCAAAAATGTAATAATGAATTAATTTCTATTTTAGTTGGAATTCGTTGATCCATTCCATTGAGCAATCTTTGAAAAACGAGTGAATCTAAACACGCCGCTTATCTGCTGCTTTTCTGCTTTAGATTTCTTCGATCAATAAAGCCATACGATCCACCTACCGACGTAAACGAACGAATTGACAAAATCTGTACGAGCCAAGAAATTTCAACGAATGACACGACGAAGCTCGAGGGTGGTCTTTTGCGCTTTCAAATTTTCGCAGCCTGTGCAGAAGAGTTTGGACATTCTGTGCCAAATTCATTGCTTTGCATCATCGAAACGGTCGGTGAGTACATATGCTCCTCGTACCTTTTGTTTTCATATGCCACTGAATTTTGCAATGCTCGACTACGAGTGCAAAAGAAGCTGCAAAACAAGCTGCAAAATAAGCTGCAAAAGAAGGTGCAAAAGTGAACGAACATTTTCCACAATTATATAAGTATATATCTTTTCTACTCTCCCTTTTCCTCGATTGGTATATATATAGGGGACCTAAAAGAATTTTATCGTAATGCGGTGGATGTTGCCACGCCGCTAGATACATTGCGAAGAATGCAGCTTCCAAAGAACTTGCACGTACAATACGAATATCATCGTTTCCATCCAGGTAAGATGAACATTTAATCGATAAAATGATACAGTATTTATTGTATTACTATTGCACAATAGTATATATAACATTTGAACACAAATTTCTTTCGAATACGTAGTAACGATTAGAATGTTTTCTATAACTATATATATATATATATATATAAAGAGAGAGAGAGAGAGCCATGAACCATGCGCCGTTTAAACAGCTACTCAATCGATAATATTCTCTCAGATACAGACACGATGTTTGATGGCAAGACAGCTTTTCCGCTCAGCTCGAATATCGTCACTGGTTTGAAATATAAGAAGAAATACAAAGGTTTTAAGCTGGAAGATCCGTTTTATGAAGAATATAGACGGCTCAAATAAAATCTTCATTTGAGATTTGAAACAACATTCGCGTTATTTATTTACTATATTACCTTCTTATCCAATTAGTCATTGGATTACTTTTAATATCAACTAATATAAAATATAAGAATATTCTCAAGAGAAAAATAAAGTAATTGTTCAGCTTACATTACTGTATTATTGTGAGATTGAATAAAACGTTATGTAAAATGATCGGAAGCGTGCCTACTATTGATAGAAAGTATTATACTTATCCTATACTTAAATGCTATTTCAATGTAAATATGTACTTGACATTTCGAGGTTCATTAAGCTTCGATCGTATAACACGGTAACACGTAAGTACACACAAAGTATACAAAGCTATTCTTGCTTGCATGGACTCGATCGACCCATCAAATTCACATAGCAACGTGGTACTAAGCAACGAATGATCTTTTCAAAGCTGGCCTGTTATTTGTACAATAATGAAGTGCAAGCAAAGCAAAGTATTCAGAACAACAGTGTACATACGTTCAAGAAAATGCCTGGAATCGCGAGTGCCACTGGCCTTATCTCTGCACGTGTTCGACCTGTTTATAGAAACAAACCGCAGGTAAAAAATCATTGAAGACAAATTTCGTTGCATTATTTCTATTTAATTACAAATGTGTCTGGTTAATATAAACAAATTCCACAATAGTGATATTCAATGATTTTTTATCGATTAAACGCCTTAAAGACCGCAAAATAGTATACAAGAGTGAAGAGATGGCTCCTCATCCATCGTTTTTCTTTTTTAACGATTCAACTTTTTTAATATTATAAATATTAAAAAAGTTGAATATCGATTATTTCAAAATAATGCCACCTAATTTCATTTACTTATAGATAGTACTTATTATAGATGTACTACTTATAGATGAAAGGATCGATATAATCATGAGAAAATAATCTTCGCACGCAGCATGTGGAACTTTCAGCGTTTACAAAGCCTGCACCCTTCGCCCTTCGACCTTACGCTGGCCTTTTTAATCCCTATTCTTATGGTTGCTCCGTCTTGTGTAATCATCCTGTAGACAATGAAGCCAAAGAGGTGGTGCGTCGGGCGAAGGATACATGGGTAAATGAAATCAATTATATCGATTTATATTCGATATTAACGATATTAACGATATTAACGATATTAACGATATTAACGATATTCTTATAATCTTCTAATATCTTATAATAAACATATACATATATTACACCTAATTAGAGCCATGTTCTTTCTTTATTTCATTCTGTCGTAGGCGAGCGAAGGAAAAGCCCTATTATTACCAGAAGAAATGGAAATGATTCGCGCTAGATTATTGGCTGGCAAAGAAATGAACGTCGACACTTTAATTGTTCCGGAAGAACTATTCCGGAAATATACTGAGACGGATTCTCGACCTCCCACACCGGCACCTACTCTCGCTAGCGTTCAAGCAGCGGCAGCGTCAGCGTCAGCTTCAGCGTCAGCGTCGTGTCGTCCTCTTCAAAATGCTCCTTCACCAATTATATACAATCCACGAGAACGCACTACCTTGGTTTTAGATCTAAGAACCAATTCGCAAGCCCACCTGGTTCGTCAAGCTATCTTGCTTTTATCCAACCAATCGCACAGGCAATTGATTATCTATTTTATTGTTTTCTTTAGAACAACGATACTCTCACTTGGCATGCACTGACTTTAGAAGTTTTACCAATTCCTAGAAAAAATCCGATCGTCAGCAATAAACCATTATCTCGACGTCGATTTATAGCTTCGTCAACGCAGCCACCACTTGCTCAAACATCTTCCTTAAATGCTAAACCCTGTGAAATGGTAAAGCAATATATAGATATATACATACAATTATTTATCATTCATATTTCGTTTGTAAACATTTGTCGTCTTTTGAAGATTGTAGATGTTAACGATGTTAACGATGTTAACGATGTTAACGACAACAACGGCGATGAACTTACGGTCGTACGAAGGCGAGGAAAAAAATTACGTAAAAGGAAGTGCAGAAGAGATTCGATTTATGGACAACAAACGGAAGTTCGAGATCCATTCGAACCACTTGAAACACAAATCTCGCAAACTAATGATGAGTCCAGACGAGCTTCGTTAGTTTGCATAGAAATCTTTTTAAATATCTTTTAAATATTTCATATACTTGTGTTAAGAATAAAATGAAACTATTTTTCATAGAATTCATCCGCTTACTGGTGGTTCTTGTACGGTGATATCTTCGGAAAAAGTATTACTATCCTTGACAGAAAAGACGATGATGCATTTCAGTTTTATACCGGCAGAAATTCTGAAACATTTGTGTAGAGAATTAAATCGCGACAAAATCGAAGCGGAATTTTCAATGAAGGTAAATTATTTTTTAAAAACAACAAGAAAGAGAGAGAGAGAGAGAGAGAGAAAAGATTAGAAAGAAAATTTGGAAATGAAAATATGACCGAATAATATTTATGAAAAAACATATCAGAGAAAAATTGCGTTCGAAGAAGCTCTGAGAGTGAAAGGTGAGACTCACTTTGCCTTGAGTGGAACGCGCCAAACTTCCGTACCACTGATGAAAAACGTTCCACGTGTATTTTCACGACAAACTGCTCGTTTTGAAATACTGGATAGCCAAAGTTTGTACGGTATGTTTGCGCATAATTATTTCGTTCTCTGTTTTATTAGGATACGAAGCAAATAATAGATACAATGTAAGAAACTTGTTTGTAGGAATCACCGTACTGGATTATTTAAGCAGGCACGTCTTTGTGAGTTCTGGAAGAAAATTAATATACAATCGAGCCTTCGTCAAATTCCACGAAGAAAACTTACAAGGCAGTCGGTATATTTGTTCAAACGATATTCAAGAAGCTCTTGAAGATGCAATTGGGATGGTACTGAGCAATGAACAAAAAGCACACTTTAACAGCTTCTTAGGAAATATTTCTGAACCGTTAAACTTTCGAACCTGGTGTGGTGTGTGCGCGGTAACAGAGAGATTGTTGTGTCCTCTTCCATCCAAACAAATCGATCCTCCTATGTGGTTAGAAAGGCTGGACTTTGAAATGCTCGAAAGACGATTAGATTCGATCAACGTAGACTCTCAGTTGGCTCTTCTATTGAGAGAAATTCGCAAGCGATAATACACTGTGTATCAAGAGCGATATTGGAAAGAACAAAATCAACAAAATAAAATCATAAAATAAAGTTATATAAAAATAAAGTTCATTGTTACGTTCGTCGGCATCTTTTATTGCTAGGATAGATGCACGTGTATTTACATCCACCCAAGCGTACACAGTTACAACAATATACGATTTCTCTTTTACTCATATTCTTTCTTTTTTTTTTTTTCTTCATTCTAGCATACAATCGCGCATCACACATACATACCACACATACACCTACGTACATACATACTCGTTCTGCTTTTCTTTTTCTTTCTTAGTACAATATAACATAATAAATAATAAATCGTTTTTCTTGTTTTCTTGTTTTTTTTTTTGTTTTTTTGTTTTTTGTTTTTTGTTATCCTTAGAGATAATACAAAACCGTCCTGCATTGTGTAAATAAATTAAGTAAATGAACAATACAACGCGGAGGAGTAATTAGAATACGATTTTCGTGGTGTAATAATGATACAACATATTATCAAGTTCATTTCGTGATTGTTTTCCTTATCGCGTGAACTTTTTCTATACGTCTCTCCTCCCCTCATCATCATCATCATCATTATCATAATCATATCACCAATCTTCGTATGCTATTGCGCGTGTCGATGATTTCGGTCGCTAGTTTGCTACGTCACGTTGCACATAGAGAGCTAACGTACAAATATAATGACGTGCACTATACATCCGAACAAATAAACTAGAACGCCCAAGTCTAGGTATGGACTCACTCTCAGCCCTTGTATGTTATTAAACGACACTACTTTCTAGAGTCTCTATACAGTGCGATGCTAACCGCCATACAAGGGAACTTCTTTTTTTGGAACGCGAACGCGAACGCGATTTATATCGTCCGTATATATATATATACGGTATATCGGAATTGAGATGAGGGCATAAGTTGGGGGCATTAGTTGGGGGGGGGGGGGCTAATAGGGCTAGGGATTGGAAAGTGAGATGGGAAAGATGTCTCATTTTGAAATTTCAGAAAATCCAACAACGAGCTCTTCTAAGGTAACGTCGTGCCCGTTCTAGTTTCTCCTGTTTTTTTGTTTTCTTTTTCCTTATGTTATTCTTCTTTGTCATTATCTCTTACTCTTAGTATAAAAAAAGTCGCTGCTGCTGTTGCTGCGGGGCAGTGGGACTGGAGTATGTCGATGCACACATAGTAATAATGGGCTAGTTGCCATTCGTTGATCGCTGCATTGCCGGAATCACGGCGTCACGTTCAGTCCCATAAATCTTGCCGGCTTTTCTTGCCATATTACCAAGCATCTCCATCGAACATTTGTGTGCCGATCTTAACGACAGTGCCCACTCTTTTAAACTTATCTCGTCCTATAAAGACAAATATTTGTTAATACGTTAAAGGATAAAAAAACGATCCGTTCAATTGAATAAGTTTATTTTCACTTACAGGATTTGTAAGTACAATTTTGGCATCCTTTGTACGAACAACGATACATTGTTCTCCTTTGACATGCTGTAGGTCAGCTCCCACTTCTTCTATCTGGAAAGTCCATACAACACATTTGTTTAATTCGATTTAATTGTGTAGAACAAATATAAATAATACTATTTGTAATGAAATATCAACCTGATCTAAGAAGACGAGTTCAGGTTTCGTAGCAGATTCTGGATGCAGCTCTAATCGATTCGGATATAACTTGGCATAGCGCGTTTGCCAAGCGCTAGCAAAAGGACCTCCCAACTTTTTGATGTATCCATGTAAAATACAATCAGAGCCTGAAATAATAATTAAAATGTCATTGTTAAATATAAAATGAACAATTGATAACGCAATGAAATGCAAAGAAATGTTCACCTTTTTCATCATCGATATCAAATCGTAGCTTTTGTTTCGATTTCTTCTTGTTTTCCACCTGCAAGCAAGCAAGCAAGCAAGTAAGCAAGCAAGCAAGCAAGCAATTTAGTCAAATCATATAAGGAAAAAGAACAATTCGACGACATAATGACGACACAATGACGACATACCTTATCTGCTTCATTATTAATCGTCTCGAAAACTGTTTCGGCTACTTCAGCTTGCCATCTTTCAGAAATAACAAGAGGAAAATTTTTATATAGATCTTGATCAGCATCTGTTAATTTAATGCCTTTAGTGTCTTCCTCGTCGAAGGAACCAATGTCGAAAGCATCAGCAGCATTCACTTCCCCACGGGGTGGTATTAAAGGTGGTGTATATTTTTGCAAGTAAACCTGTTGCCAATCTATCCCGTTGAAAAATGGATGCGCCTTTAATTCATCTGCTCCTCCTCCACGACATCCAAGTCTGTTGTTGATGTCCCTTTGTAGTAAACCTTCTAAAAGCGATCGCAGTTCTCTTGAGAATGTTTCAGGTAATTCAACATTCTGAAATAATGATAAATATACATTATTTCATTTAAAATAATTCGAAGTTTGAACGAAAGTGTAGATCTCACCATAGTGAGAGTCATTCGATCGATCTCATGTTTGTCCTTAGTTTTATGTTGTCTGAAAGGACTATGTCCTTTCAAAAGTTTATAAAGCATACATCCAAAGGAAAACCAGTCCGCACTGGAATCATAGGGTGTTCCTTTCGAAAGGACTTCCGGTGCCATATATCCATGTGTACCTCTGAAAGATGATTGCTATTAATTACGTTTCAAGATGCTCCATTAAATTGCCATATATAATACTCTTATATCGTAGTATACATATATATATATATATACTTACACGCTTGCGTGAGGTTTCTTTTTCGAAAAGTCACATGCTAATCCTAAATCTGATATTCTTACATGTCCGTGTTCGTCTAAGAGAATATTAGCTGGCTTTAAATCGCGATATACTATATATCTGCGGTGCATGTGCTCTAAACCGAGAATTACTTCGGCTGCATAGAATTTCATTTCCAGCTCGTTAAATACACCATGTTGACTTAAATGATAATGTAAATCACCGCCATTCATTAAATCCAATATAAAACACAATTTATCTGGTGTGTGAAATGCGTATGTCATACATACTATAAATGGGCAATCCACCTAAAAGATATGAAAATCATCAAATTATAGCCTTTCTATATCTTAGTCTTTCACTACTACATTCTTAGTATGTTCCTATAGCAATTCTTACCCCAGTACTGACTAGAGAGAGCATTATCCTTTCGTTAAGTGCCAATGTTTCACCCTGTTTCATTTTAATACGCTTTTTATCGAGGCACTTCATAGCATACATTTTTCCAGTATCTGCTTTTCGACAACCATAAACTTCACCAAATCCGCCTCTTCCTATAATTCGATGTACGCTGAAATCGTTCATTGTCAGCTGCAAAAATAGACATTTTGTTTTTCTTTTTTTTTTTTAAGATCAAATTTATCAATATTGATTTACAAATATAAATGACAGAATTTGACAGAAACACCTGAACTATACCTGAATGTTTAATTCCAGATTTTTCCACTGACAAAAACGAGTGTATTTATCACTAAAAATGCGCATCAATTAGATCAATTAAAATATCTTAAATAAAATCTGAAATCTATAAACAACAACAACAACACTTACCTTTCCAAGAACTTTTTAAATGGTTCACCACGTAAATGATTAAAAATTTCTTCTATGTAAGGCTAGAATAATAATAATAATAATAATAATAATAATAATAATAATAATAATAATAATAATAATAATAATAATGTGATCGTTATTTTAATTGTTATTCGAATAATAATGAAATATCATTTTTCTCGTGCACATTTAATATAAGATATTTAATTTGGAAGCAATATATACATACCTCAAACAGATTAATGGGAACCTCATTTTTCATAAGATACTTGTGTACGTGAGCAACAGCATCCGTTGAGTATTCCTGCAAAAGCAAAAGGAATGTAAAGAGTAATTAATATATAGAATGAATATTTTGTAAATAAATAGTTAGTATTTATTGGAAATATATTTACGTGCGCGTGCGCAAGCAATTCTTTCATGATAAAATTATCATAGATTTCTCTGGCAGTTTTTCTCCTTTCTTCTGGACATTCGAGTTTTTCATAACCTTTAATCTAAAATATATAAATACCAAAATGAATGTAAAGTTGAATACAAAGATAGGCTAAAATGCAAGCAGATAATATTAATTTCATTTTGTTTGTAGAGCAATCTAAAGACCTCTTCGTAAAACCTGAGTTGTGGAATTGGTTCCTCCGCCACATTGTCGCAGAAGTCTTTGAATAAAAGATAACCTGAGAGAGAAGAACATTTTTTATATAAATTTAAATCTTTTTTAGATCCAATCAAGTCAATGAAAAGATAGAAAATGAAATAATTATATGCACCTAACATTTGATTGAATATTTTGTCGAAATTCACTTCACTCTTCTTCTCGAGATATTTGTGCATTACACTTCTGACGCTGAAACAAACATTATATTATTATTATTATTATTACATTATTTTCCTTATATAACAATATCATTTATTAAGCTTGCTAATTCTTACATTTGATTTCATACTTTGTTATACTTGGATTGATAAAGGAAAAAATCAAATAATGCTTTTCAATATATAAATAGTCAAATGAAAATTTCAAATAGGCGAGGAGGAATAAAGTAGAAAATTAAAGATATATGCAAATGGCAAAAACAGGATGCAAGAAAATGTATTCCTCAAGTCTTAACTATCGACGTATGTACGTATATTGAACAACGTAAATGGAAAGATCTTTTTTTAATGTATTCCTCTCATCACGACGTATCCATGGGTATATACCTTAGCCATGTATTGTTGGTTCCTACATTCGTCTATTTAACCTGAATCAGTGAGGAGTCTCTGCGAGCAAGAGGGTGGTGAGTGGGTGGATGAGTGAGTGAGTGAGCGAGCGAGCGAGCGAGTAAGCAAGCATGGAGAAAGAAAAAAATAGACGAGAAACGGGAGAGAGAGAGAGAGAGAGAGAGAGAGAGGGAGAGGGAATGAGAAATTGATATATACATATATACTCGTATATATATACGTGTGTAATATATAAAGAGAGAGAGAGAGAGAGAGAGATAACAAGAGAGTAGGTGAATGAGCGACTGAGTAAAAGGAGGAGGGGTAAAGGAAGATGTGTTAGAGAGCTACAAGGAAGAGATAATCGTGCGAAGGAAGACAAAATTGAAAAGAGAAATTGGGTCGAAGGGAATACCTAGGATCGGGCAGAACGATCTTCTTGCTAGCGCGGGCAGCCGGTGTACACTTGCTCTTTTCCATAGCCATCAGATAGCTGACGTCTGCCAGTACCGCCTCTAGATCCGCCATTTTTCCCCGATGATAGTTTCTAGTTGCAAAGAGGAAACAGTTAGTACTCCGACGGTTACCCGCTCGGAGCGAGCACGCACGAGGTGTCCTCCAGCGCCGTCTTCTTCTCTTCTTCCTCCACCTCCACCTCCACCACCACCACCACCACCGCCACCACCACCACCACTACACCACCACTACACCTCCACCGCCACTTGCCTTTTCTCCTTTCACACGCAGCTCGTGCTACGTCGATTTACACTTTCAGGATGTGGGGTAAACGCGTGTGGTTTGTCTCTTCCCTTAAAGTTGCATATTTTTAGCACCACGCCAAAGATGACATTGACGGTAACGTATAGAAGAATGTGAGTATGAACACGGACCGGAATATAAACGATCTTAATATCGACGACATTACGATGGACGGATGCTCGATCTTTGCCTTTTTCTTTTCTACTGGAGACAAAACTTGATGGACGACGACGACGACGACGACGACGACGACGACGACGATGACGATGACGATGACGACGGCGTAGAAACAGGACGCGAACGGAATACGCAGAGGTTACGTCCGACTGTTGGTAAGCGGTAGGGGTCGGTGGCGGGGGGTGTAAAGAAAGAGAAAAGACGAATTTCCAGAAAGAAAAAGGAAGAGTCTATAGATCTTTTCCCTCTTACCCTTTCTGTCTTTCTCTAGATCTCGCCTAATATAATTAGCAAAAAATGCAAACAATGCAAACAATCGCTTTTTCCCCCTCACTGTTTCCCTCACTGTTTCCCCTCACTGTTTTCTGAATGCTCTAAGAAGGAAGGTGAAATTTATTATAGAATAGGATACTGTGTATTCTTCTTATAGCGATATATGCGCTCGTATTACGCGGCTTTTCTAATGTCAAAGCGCTCGCTTTTGATCATACTTATCGCGTGTAACAAGTCTTAAGCCAAGAAATAAAGATTACAAATTACGCACTTGTATGTCTATTCTATTCTACGTTGATAGGTTCGCTCGCGAAAAATACCGCGATGCTCAAAAATATTTTGACAGAGCATTCGTTACTCATTACTGACTGACAGTCGGCGAGATCGCGATTCTCTTTGCCTTTGCGCATTAATTTTGCGCAGCCTTGCGCTGTTCGTTGATTGGCTACTTCGAGATTAGTTTTTCCAATCGACTGCAGCGCCTTTTTCTGACGTAACACCTCTCATTAATCCCGCCAAATTTTGAATCATCTTTAGCGCCAAACGAGTCTATCAAATAGACCTTTTTTGGGATTATTATTGTTCAATTGCTTGACTAAATTAAAACATTAATGAACAAAAACTTATAAATGTCTGGTTATATCTATGATATAATGCAGATTATTTAGCAAGCAAGACTATATTTCATTTTATAAAAAGTCATTCAAAGGACTAGACGACTATGCGACGATTAAAATTACAAAAAGCATGTTTTAAGTACTAACAACTAGTACTAGCGAAATGATCACAACTTAATTCGGAATATCTACAATTGAGTTTTTTTTTCAAGTACGATACAATTATTTTCCTATCATCAAGATATACGAGTAATTAAGATTTCTTATCTAATTGTCTAATGGTACTACGTACATTGCATCTCTAATAAAAGAACAAACTTTCTTATACATTCATGTTTATACATTTATAATAGACATTAATTAGAATAAAAGAACTAAACATATGTATAAGAAACATAAGTACATGGTTATACTAGATTTTGTATGTATCATTATTCTAATCTATTACATAAATTATAAATTATACAAAATATGTTATACAAATTAACCATGCCTAACCATATAAATAATAAAATATGTTCTCTATGTTCTACGTTCTCTAAAATAACGATATAACGATATAACGATAACGATCCGATCCAACCACGCACGATCGTTAGTGGCTAAAGTAATAGCACGCAAGAATAAGTCATCTTATTCATCATTCTTATTATATACTCCTATATTAACCGTTATTTAATATCTTGAATTATTGAATATTCTGTATATATCAGCAGTTTTATGCATTTACGAGTATATTGCAATTACGAGTACAAATGAATGAATATTAGATGTAATTCTGGAGTGATATTATTCGACTACTTAAACAATATATATATATATCTCCTACGATTGTTTGTTACGTATACATATGGAATGACATACAATCATACATACTGAACTGAAATAACTTGTAAAAGTGAATTAAATTCAGTTTTTCAAATGGTATTACAAGTTCTATTAACATAGACAAATAAGTAAATAAGTAAGTAAGTTAAGTTATCGTTGTTATGTAAACATTACATATTTCAGTTTGAAAGATAAAAGCTTAAGAAAGTAGCTGATAGACTTATAAATGATTTTGTTGTTGTTGTTGTTGTTGTTGTTGTAGAAACTGAGATATAAGGACACTTTTAATATTTACTTCTCTTTTTCGTTACATTTTCGACAAACTCTCTTTTACAGTTATATTACTGAATGTGTTAACAATTATGGATATAAATCACATTATTTATATGTATCAAAACTATAGTATTTGTGTTATACTTGAGAAAATAATGTTTCATAGCAGTTTAATTATCAAATACTGCTGGTTAATGATATCAAACTTTTATCTCAGTAAGAAAATGGGGAAAATGATATTATCCAAACAGTATGAAATTAATTTTACTTAAAAAACAAAAGAAACTAAAACTACCCATATATACAAATCTTTGAATTATAAAAATTTGATTTAAAAAATATCTACTTAAAGTTTATATATGTCCGAAAATATTTTTCATTATTTTCATCAATAAAATATTGAAGTACTTTTTTTAAGCAAGATATATTACTGTTAATTTGTTATTTTCCTTTGTTTCCTTTCATTTTCTTTTTCTCCACAAAATATTATATCATGGTCTGTACATAGTTGTGAATATGTAACGATAATATTATTATAGATCAGATCACTCGTTAAATTTTTATATGAATAAGCTAGGTTTCGGATATGTTAATAACTCGACAGATGAATTTACTCATAATGTCTAATAAAATCAATTTGAGAGAGAGAGAGAGAGAGAGAGAGTTCTATTTAACGTCAATAAATAAAGATTAATCATTAATTAAGTAAAAAAACAAAAGTTTAAAGTAATACAATTCCATGGTCTCTTTCAAGTCTACGTTTGGCTTTCAAAGATATAGTTCCCATTAGATCTGCTGGCGTTGGAAGGCCCCCTGATATATTTGGAGCTACTGCTTGTTGATAAAACACTTCTATTTGTCCACATTGATTACCATAAACGACGGCATCTTCGGTCCTATGTAATAATGTAAATGTAAAACAATGACTCTTATTGAACCATACAAAAAAAAGGCTAAAGGAATCGATAGAGAAATGATTGAACTCACCGAACGATAACGTCGGTAAGATTACTGGCTTGTCTGAATCTATTGTGAAGACACGATACGATATCTAATTCTGTGACACCCCAAAGTCCAGAACGATTAATCGTATCCCATTCTGCATCGACGCTCAAAATACTATATAATTCTTTATTTTCGTTTGACGGAAGTGGATCTAAACATTGTTGTAATTGAAATTCGAGTCGTCCAAGTGTTTTTATGCAAGTCTGCCACTATAATGAAAATAATGAAAATAATGAAATATGATGAATAAATAAACGAACGGAAATCAATTAAAGGAAGAATATAAAGGTCACTCACAAGAGAATGTATCAAGTCTGGATTGTTAGCAGTCCCATTTTCCATTAATAAAACCAATACCATATTTTGATGTCCACATAGGAACAATTCTATTTGTACTATATTACTTTCATCTTTAGTAGCACCGAAGCATTCACTTTCATCAGATTTACTTTCATTCTCTTTATCCGTTTCCTTCTTACTTACCGCTTCTAATTTTTGTTTCAATAATTGATTTGTCGTAGAAGAAAATCCAAATATATCACGAAATTCGCTAGGTGTTGTTTCTTTGCTGCAAAAACCACTGGTTCGTTCATCGGCAAGTAAGGTCAATTTAGACATAAGAGGCGTTAATTGTAATCCTTCTAATTTTCTTTTTTGCAAACAATTCAATTCGTTATTACATTCAGATTCGGATTTACATTTATCATCACTATCCAAAATATTTAGCGGTTTCAAAGGTAAACTCATACCTTTCCTATTAAATTCTTGTTGTTTACTTTTGTTATCAACTTTTGCATTGCAAATTGCAGTAATTTCATCTTTCTTCAAATCTCCGCTAGCATTTTCATTGCATGCATTAGTAGATGCTATATTCGATGATTCTAATGAATCGGGTAAATGAAGAAAACGATTGTCTATGTAATCATTTATTGTTACGCTATTATCTTGAAGTTCCTCGTAATGCGAAGCTATGTATTGTTCGTATAATGCTTGCGAAACAGGTAATCCATCGGAACGAAATACTGGATAACACGGATCAGTTATCGTATGGAAAATGTTTTTTTCTGCCAATAATTTACTAGTCAACATATCCATGTCGCAATGAACATGCACATTTTTATTTAAATTTGGTAATCCTAATGTATACGTTCTAAGTGGAATGTCAGATGAAATTTTATCCAAACAAATGTCTACATCGGATGTGCTTAAGCTTTTTTTTATCGGATCTTTGCTTCTCCATGATTTTCTTCTGGCAGAAGGATTATTCTTTAGTTTATTTAAATGTTTACAACGAAGCGCTTCTTTGACCACATCTGGAATGTCATCCATATTTTCTTCCATTATCTCTTTCGATTCTTTTTCTTCTTTTTCTTCTTGCTTTTCTTCTTGCTTTTCTTCTTGCTTTTCTCTCGAAATATCAGCACTATCGTTCATATTGCATATTAAAACTGCCGATCCATGTAACACTCTATTTACATCTTTCAGAGGCGTAGAACATACACTTGGTGTTTGTGGATTTGTCGTATATTCATTAGGTTCTATTTTATATTCTTGCTTAGACTTCACCGGTGAACTATACACAGTGATAGGAAGAGAAGAAATACTGGTCGTACCATTATTACAATGCATTGGTTCTAACTCTCCTTCTTCAGGTACCGTAAAAATTCGTGACATGTCGCGTTTTGGTCCAGACATGTGTGCTTCTTTCATACTGTTCTTACGCATGCTCTACAAATATAGTCGCATAGAAACATATATATTATTAGAATAAAAATATTGAAATTTAATAGAATACCTTTTTCTGAGAAGACAATTTCTGTGCCATAGAATCCAAATAAGAATTGAAGTAACGTTCGTTATTTGCCTCCTGCATTAATTCAGTATATTGTTTTTCTTTTATGTATACTCGTAGCAATTGAACTCCTACAGGCAAATGAAATTCTGTATCTACTCTCTCTGCGGGCGCCTGATGGACAAATATTCAAGTTCATTCTAATTAACTCTAGAACCTTAGAATATTCTAAGGTAAATATGTTGAAATGCATATACGATACTATACCTTTATTCTATATGGATCCATGATAACTATTTGTTTAGTTAAATCTGCGCTTAATTGTGTAGCAACTACCCTAGAATAAGGATATTAAGAATATTATTATTATTATTATTATTTCTACCATTTCTATTGGAAAATAATATTTTATTCTTTCCTTTACTTGTTATTGTAAAATAGAGCACCACCCATTATTCCATTAGTCTCTTGGCAATACTGTAAAATTTGTATTGCTTCCAAAAATATATTACTGGCACTCTGTAAATTGAAAATATACACATGAGAATAATATACATGAGATTTTGTAGACTATTATAAAAAAAAAAAAAAAAACAAATTGTTTCATAAAAATTAATTTGATTCAATTCATATAACCTTTGGAAGTTTAATAACAGGGATATTAGAAAATAAATTGGCACTGTATTGAAGAATTGGTAAATAAGTTTCAAACATTTGATATAGCTTTTCAGTAAATTTGTTTCTATCATTGTTGAAAGATTCGGATATTTTGACGAGATCGCAGTGAAAAAACGTCAATATTGATTCTAAGGTATTTGCTCTTCTTTCTAAAACCCAATCATGTATATTTCTGTCCGTTCCTACTGCCTAAAATCATATAATTACGGATTATTGACACTTGACAAATAATATTCGAAGAATACTTGAGAGAGAGAGAGAGAGAGAGAGCGAGAAGTCAAGTTAAGATTAATTAGTTAGTAATAACTTACCAAAATATATTGACCAAACTTTTTAAAAACAAATTTTCCACCTTGTAAGCAAATTGAATGTGGTGGAGAAAATGATGTTGCTAAGAATTGATTAATACCCATTAATTGGCCTGCTAAAGCGAGTCTTTGGGTAGGTGATACCCATGCCGGATGAAAGTACATAACTGCTTCTCCAGGATCATCTTCTTCTTTACAACATCTTGATGTGTCAAAAACGAATACTATCATCATTTCCCTGCGAATAAAAAATGATTCAAACGTTAGTATGATTAAACTCATTAGAAAACTAGTATTGCAAGTTTTTGTCTACTTGTTCATTTTTATATAACATTATACTACGCGCGTGTGTGTGTGTGTGTGTGTGTAAGAAATATTTATTTATTAGTAAAGCCATGACCAAGTGTCAGCTATCGCTACATCACTGTATCAGTGTATCACTCACACGAGTTTAAAGTCACCATTTTCTTTAATAAATATTAAAGATTTAAAGAGAGACATAATCAGACAAAAATAATAACACAACAGATACACACACGCACGCACGCACGCACGCACGCACGCACATGGAGCAAATAAGAGAGAAAGAGAAAGAAAACCATTCATACTATGACGACATGTCAAAAACGAGCGACAAGAGACCTTATCATTGAATTAAAATTAGTCGTGCTCTGTTATAATTAGATAATACTACGATTACGTAATTCTGTCGTACTTTGCCATGGTGATTGTTTACGTTTCGTTCGTTTACGTTCGGCCGGTGTTTAATCGCAACTGCCAAACTCTAATATCCTACACTCCTTTTCACGTATTTCTATTCAACTTTGGCGTTAATTTTGTTTGAAATCTTAATCACGATGACTCCACTACGACTCTGGCTGATACGATTCATAGAAAATATTCACTTTGATAGGAATAAGTTACGTAAGTGAAAAAACCAGTCATGATAATCACTACTTATTGTGACAACAAGTTGAAGTGAACTAAACAGAACAGGTTCTTTGCCGCCATGCCAAATCGTATTCTCTGGTTGGATCGTAGCACATGATGGCAATTCTTCGATAAACTAATCCCACCTAGTTCACGTATGTATGAACAGGTGGAAGATAAGAATTTATTCTCGAATAAAAAGGAGGAGTATTGAGAGAATTGCATATCATTGACATACAATTGATATCGAAGAATTAAGCCATTGAATTAAGTCATTTAATGAGAAATATTATTTCTCACATTTTTTACTTTCTTATTGCTGCTAAGATACATATATCATTTCTCGATTTATATTTTCCCGCCTAGGAAAGAATACCGATCGTACCGTCGATTAGAATGTAATTTACTTTACCGATCGATTATCCTACGAAAGTAATGTCATTTTCTATCGACAGAATCTCTGCTGTCGCGTACTTTCGAATTTGATCCTCCAACAGCCAACTTTCTGACGATTCATAAACTGTGAATAACGTCGAAGTCCGGCAACTGTCAAATGACATTCGCATTTCTAAGGTTACTACTTTGATTTTGAAATGGCAGCAGAAATAAAACCTACAACCGGAAGGAATCATGATAAGTTTAGTTCCAGTCGCAAGCCCGTACTTTTGTCAAAATTAGAAGGATGTAACGACGATGTTAACGCGGCTATTATCATCCCGCGGGAAGACGGGGTAATTAGCGTTTGCGATGACAGGTATGTGACGTTTTACACAATGATAACTTATCTGTCCCTCTCGCCTATATTATAATACGCTTTATTTAATTACCTCTCGCTCCTATTATTTTATTATTTTCCACCATTTTATTCTTCACCTTCACCTTCACCTTCACCTTCACCTATTTCTTATTTCCTCATTTTTCTTTTTTTTCAATGCGTTTTCATTTCGGTGCATTACAAAATATTCTTCATTATTTCAAATATACATATATATAATGTCTTTCTTATAAGATAAGGTGTATATATATATATATAAATATATTCTGCTTTTTTGCAGAACTGTTAGAGTATGGCTAAAACGAGACTCTGGGCAATATTGGCCAAGTGTTTGTCAGTACATGCCTGTTGGTGCTACTTCTATGCATTATTCCGTAGAAACGCGCCAATTGTTTGTTGGACTTGAAAATGGAAGTATAAATGTATGCGATACCATCCAAAATGGATTTAGGAGAATGTCTTTTTTTTTTTTTTTTTTGAACTAATAATATTTTAAAACGCTATTATCATTATTTTAGGAATTTCTTTTGGAACAAGATTATAATCGTATGACTGGTATGCGTGAATATTTAGCTCATCAAGCAAGAGTTTCTGGAGTTATATACGCTCCTAATTGCGAATGGGTATTGAGCATAGGTCGTGATAAGTTATTTCAATTACACTGTTCCAATACCGGAAGGAAATTAGGATCGTATCAAACGGATGCATGGTACACCGCTCTACAGTATCCTTTTTACAAAGAGACTGTGCTCTTTAAAGTAAAAGACAGTTAAAACAGTTAAAACAGTTAAAACAGTAAAAGGCAGTTTGTCATTGATAATAATCGGTATATCGGCTTAACTAATTCAGATTTGATGCTCAATCTAAACACGCTTTTGTGGGAGATTATTCTGGACAAATAGCAATGCTAAAATTGGATGCTAACGGTGTTACATTCATTACTATGCTGAAAGCTCATACTGGAAGTATTCATACTTTAGCATGGGACTCGGAGAAGCAGCTTTTGTTTTCTGGGAGTTTTGATCAAAGTATTATAGTGTGGGATATCGGAGGACGTCAAGGCACAGCATATGAACTTCAAGGCCATCAGTAAGCTAAAGTAACTCTAATACATAAGATAGGACAATGTGTGAATTATTTTAAGTAGTTTTATCGTAACACGCGTGTTATATAATATAATAAGATTTCATTTTTATTCTTTTTTTGGCCTATAATGACTATTATTTTTCAGCAACAAAGTAACAGCACTTTGTTATGCGAGCACGGAACGTATATTAATATCCGGAGGAGAAGATGCCGTAATTGTTTGTTGGGATATGGCTGCAAATAGGAGAGAAACTGCACCTTGGGTTGAATCTGACACGTGTCAAGTACGTTCGTATATTATTTAATCTTGTCTGATTAATATAAATTTATTATGTGCGATGATCATAGATTACATGTAGAATTTGGATCACGTATAGGCTTGCGGTAGGCCATTTTTCTGGAATATAAAAGCAATGATGGATCAGCGTCAAATAGGGCTAAGACAGCATCATTGTCGTCATTGCGGACGTGCTCTGTGCGCTCGTTGCACCTCTCAAAGGACACCGATCCCATCCATGGGATTTGAGTTTGAAGTTCGAGTGTGCGATCCATGCCATATTCAACTTAAAGCTGCCAAGTAGGTATTATCTAGTATACTATACTATAGTATAGTATAGTATAGTATAGTATACCATTGCGATTAACTCTTATACATGTATTGTATACATATTTATTTGCATAGCCAAACATCTCTCGCATCGTTTCACGACGCGAAACATAGTATTATTGGAATGGATTTAGATGCTCCACGTCGAAGATTACTGACCATCGGTCAGGACCGCTTAATTAAAATATGGGATATTTCTGCACTGCTTCAGTGAACTTGCAAGTATATATGCTTTTTCCAAACAAATCAAATTATATGATACGGAAAAACTGTTATCACCTTTAAACCATGTTCAAAAATGTGCTATCCACAGCGTATTTTTGTGATTATGTTATTATTTCTAATTACAATTTCACCACATATACTTTGTGTAATGTAGATTTTTCTTTATGGAAATAATGAAATAATATTGCAAACTTAATTACACAAAGTAGAATTGTAATGATAGTTTTTAAAAATTCAAGTCATCGATACTTCTTTGCACCAAATACTCATGTATTCCTTGTATATTTATAAAACAAGCAGCAATAGATGTGAATATATTTTCTCATATAAAGTAGAGGGACTCGATGCAATTAATTGGAAAAGAAAAGACTAAAATTATAAACGATCTATCTATTTTTGGGATAATGATAAAGTTATTTTCAAGAAACAATACTTTAATACCTCAGGTAAAATATGATGATGCCGAGGTACACATGGCACAACCGAAATGGAAAAGAGAAAAGTGGGAGGAGAGGCAGACAAATATAGACAGAAAGTGAGACTATTAATATTAATATTAATATTAATTCTTCAATATTTTTCTAATTCAAATTCTTTTTCCAAGGTACATATCCTCCAGCAATGTACCTTACCAATATATAAACTGTAAAATATGGCTATATCATACGTATTTTGTTGTTGATCGGTTTAGAAAATATATTTCATATATTTTATGTGGAGGTAAAGCATATGTATCCTTCTATTGTATCTATATCTATCTATCTATCTATATATATATATATATATATATTTTAAAATGTTTATTTTAAAATTCTTATTTTTGATATTTTATATGAATATTTGTCACACAGAGAGATATAATGTTTAAAAAGTCACAAGATTTATGATATTTTAATAACTCCTAGTCATTCTATATATACATTTTATGAACTATGGCTGTTATATTAATTATTSTTATGTTATATTATTATATATAGAAAAGCAAAATATGTTTCAAAATAAATTATGCAGAGTATTTTATCAATCAATGAATGTTCGTTCGTTTAAATAACTAATACTTTTTATAAAAACTTTGCTTTTCACCGATATGATTATTAGGCAACAATGTATAATTTCTTGTTTAAATGATTTTTACTTCTTTTCTGACCATGTCTGCCTTCCTTCGTCTTTTCATTTAGTAGTCATAAATTCACTTATTTCAGCATGAAAGATGAAAAAACAATAAGCATCACATCCTTCCAAAACTCATGATAGTTTCTAAAACTTACTATTTTATAGACACAATAGTCTTCTCTCTCGTGCTTCCATAAAACTAGGTGTCATAAATTGTTATGCAAAAATCGTAATAACAAAATATATATGTCAACAAAATGACATAAAAATCTTAATATTAGAGATTCATGTAATGTTATATGTATGTTAAGGATTCAATGTATGTGTTATATCATTACATTAAACCTTTCATACTATTTTTCTTCTAATTGATTATTCATCAATTATCTATATGCTTGTCTCGTACCTGAAAGTAAAAAATGGTCATTAAACTAAATTTTAAAATAAGGACTATTGACTTTCATATTGAAATTTGAGTATAAATGGTTACGATAAGAAGTATATTATTCTATTATACAAATTATTACAACTTTTTTTAGAAGACATATTATTGTCTTTGTTGTTAATCTTCTTCTAAATTGATTGTATTTTAAAGTTCAATCAAATTACGTTAAAGCATTTAATTATAATCGTTTTGTCGAGGTCATTAATGGTATCTCTACATGATATCATCAATATTTTGTATGTTAACGAAGAATGTAATAAGAATTAAAAAAATTATAAGTGCTTTTTTTATATATATATAAATATATATAAATGCTACTTTTGTTATATGTATATATATAACAACAAATGCTATTAATTGACTAATGTAATTATGTTATTTAGAAGAAAAAATTGCTGTATATTAAGTATTACTTATGAAGCTTTTAAAAGTACCATATGTACAAATATGTACATTCGTAAGATAATTTAACTAAGTCTATGTTTATTATATGATTCTTTGATGAACATTTTTTAACTGCTGCATCCCTTAGGCAACATATTTGATTAATCGCTTAAGAAAATGACAATTATCACTAAAGCAATGTATACTACCTGAACTTTTTCAGATCAAAAGTATTCTCGTTACATAAATACGCATTTCATATTACGTTGAATGAATGTGTTACTTTATAATAATACACATAGTTGGTAATGCGATCGTTGTATTTTGACATCAACTTTATGCATCAGTATGTATATTATAGTACTGTAAAGAATGAAACAAATCTGTGTATACATCCAATCGCGTATATAAATTGGTATAAACCGATTAAAAATGAAGTAAAAAATATATTTTCAACGTTAATGATAATATCGTTTATTTTTTTTTTCATTAATATACGATTAAGACACGTTTTTGATCGTTCTTTTATAAAGAATTAATATTCCTAAATACGCGAAAGTAGGATGATGTGTAAAGGAACCATTACGTTCTCTATAAAATGTCAATGACAAATAACGAATGAAATTCCAAATTGATCATTTCCATCGGACGAAAGTTACCGTAACGCAATGAAAAAATAAAGTAAAAAGACAAGGTTTATAGATAAAAAAACAATGCATTTAGAAAATTCAGCAAAGAGTGAAAAATAAATAGAAAGAAATAAAAGATAGGACGCGCGAGGAAGAGTGCGACAAACGATTTAACCTTTCGTAGACATATGTTGTAGATTTGACTAGTTTATCATTTCTATACACGATTCATACCGTTGCTACTTTTCCACCTCTTCCATAATCCGCCTTCCACCTGGCTACGCCCGAACCGTGCCGAAGGTAGCCGAGAGTGGTTGCGTTATTTTACGTGCCGGTCAGAAGCACCGTGGCCCATCCTTCGGAACGAGCCACGGCTGTCTCCGTCCTTTGGATCATCTTCTTTTTCTTCGTCGTCGTCGTCGTCGTCGTCATATTCATCAATTTTACATTTGTAAAACGTATACTTTTTCAACTTTTCTATTAATTTACTTTCTATTTTCCCACATTTGTCTCTTTTGTCCTGTTTCGCGCGCACACTTCATCCAAGAAACTTTTAAAGTTTCTTTTTTCTTTTCTATTCACTCTACTCGCGACGCACCTGTAACCTGTCGTATAAAAAAAAGATAAGCGAAAACAAGTAGTTTTCGCGCGTTTGTTAAGCTTTCGTTTATACCTGGTGTGTTCTGCCGATCGAGTTCTTTCGGACATGAAAAGCGTGTTTCGCGCCGGTCCACGTTAAGTGCAGTGCAGTGCAGTTTAATGGAGCGCACCGACGACTTCTAGCAGAGAGAGAGACCTGCTTTCGCCGTGCTTATCGTTACTCGCGCAAGGTAATTAACTTAACTGAAATACAATACGCGAGACAATATTGTCTCTCTCTTTCTTTCTTTCTTTCTTTCTTTCTTTCTTTATATTAACTATCTATCCAAGCAAGCAAGCAAGCAAGCAACTATCTCTGTTATTACTCTTGCATTAGCTCTCACTTCTTCCTATACTTCGCCGCCACGTATGTACAAGGGAAAAAATAGCCACGTTCGTGATGCGGAACGAACAAATTCGTTCATTTTGAATGCGACAATGTAAAACTTGTACAACAAATTGCACATCCTTCATGTAAATTTTTATAAGAAATTTGAACTTTGTTGGCATTCTCCGACATACGTACACGTTTTTTTATTGTTAGATCTTTCGTGCTAACGCGTCCTTGTGAGAATTATCGAACGAAGATCTATGGCGGTATGACAAGCCTTTTTTTCTTTCTCCCTCTCTCTCTCGCTCTCTCTCTCTCTCTCTCTCTCTCTCTCTCTCAGTCTGTCGTTTTTTATTGCATATTTGTATGATTTATGACGAACAACATTTATGACGCCAAGTGGAAGTTAATTTTTGTGAAAAAGGAATAATTTGCTCTTGTCACACATATCGTGTTCCTAAGGAAAAGGAAATTTTTCAAAAAAGAATTAAACAAATCTTTGTCGTTACTTTAGAGTTCGAGGTTTTGATTATTATTTATAAAAGCAATTTGTCTTAATAACAAAAATGAAATATTTCTTTCTTCTCGAAGAGAAACGTAATAATACGATTGAGAGAGATAATCAGTGTTTTTGTTGTCAAATTTGTAAAATCCATTTGGCGATCGATTACCTCGAGAGTTACTTTATACATATACGTTTATTAGATTTTTGCTTAAAAACTATTGATATGGAGTATAAATTGGACGTATCGTCTTCTTTGAAATTCACTGTTAAACTTTGATTGTTGTCATATGACTTCCCAAAGTTCTGTTATATGACTTAATAATAGATTGCGGATTTCTGTATGTTGCATATGTTTTGAATACAGTTATTACACGAAAATAAACTCAATAATTTAAATTACCGATTCTCATAGAGTGTTCGCGATTACGAGTGTACGATACGTACTTTATACGTGTATAATCGTTTAAACGTACATCTTGATTTGATTTTTTGTTCGCATGACATCACTCACTGATTAATCGATGATGCACGATCCTTGTGTTGTTGTCTTCCGATTCGTCGATCTATAGTTTCTATTTACGTGGAAAGTGCGAAATCTCGGTTTTATTCGAGTAACAACAGAAGAAGAGGAAAGTAGGGATGATTCATGAAGAAAGAAGCAAACACTTAGCGTACGCGTATCTTTTTATCTCTTTTTGAATTGCCATGCGTATAAAGAATTAGTATAAATATATTTTCAACGACACCCGTTGTTGTATGTAGTATATGTATATGCGGATTGCAATGGCGGCGGCTATATCCGATGGCACCTATGTATTTTTTACAAAAGAGACATCATTTTTTGAAGTTGAGATTGAGCTCGTGCATTCTTGACCGACATATTCTTCAATATCAAATATAAATGTGTATATAAAGATAAGTATTTAAGGCAAATGTACTCTCGAAATACGATCAAGGTCATAGTTGGAAAGTCACGTAGTAGTTGAGATCGTAATGTATGTTTTTGGTTACGCGTCGTTGTTTGATCGCCCGTTAAAGTCTCCTGCACACGGTACTGACCGCTCGCTCGCTCGCTCGCTCGCTCGCTCGTTAGATACTTTCAAAGTCAATGACTGCGACTCCCCTATACTTTCCTTAATTCAAGTTCATAGTGAAACTCTCTGGCACTTTGCGCTAATAATGTAATATACATAATGCATAATACAATATATTATTATAACAAACGTATGTATAAGAAACGTAGATGAATGAAACCATCAAGATATTGCTTCTTGTTATATTTCGACATCGAAATTCATGTGCTTAATAATATTTACATTAGAAATGTCTATTGACATTTGAATGATTATTTTTATTTATATTTACGTATTTATGGTTTATTTCTATACAATAAGAGACAGTAGTCGACGAGAAAGCATAGCGCGCAGCCGCCGGCAGTAAAAGTTTACGGAAAGGCGCGAAGTATAAACGTAACAACGGGACATACTTACATATACTACCTATACTTTGAATGTCTTACGGGGATATTCGAGCTCGGCATGTAAACACAGATTGCTGTTGTCGCCGCTTAACCTACTTTTGACAAATCGAGAGATTGAATTAAAATACGCACATGTCGATTCAAAGATTCGACAAACCTATTTATCTCCTATATTTATCTCCTTCGAAATAGTCAACAATACATAACAAAACACACTCGATCTTATAATAATATTTTTCATTAAGCTCATCTACGCGTTTGCGTGACCATGTAGTTTTTAACTAACAGTAACAATAATTCTCTTTATATGCATAAATAAAATAGTTGATTTCAAATGAGTTTTGTATGTTGCCATTGTCCCGTTTTCAAAACAGCGTTCGACAGGAATTCGTTCACTGTTATGGAACTATCGAAACCTAAAATTGACATTTCATCGTCGTACACCGAACAAACATTCTTTTAGAAACGAATCGAGCGTGATATTTCTCCTCATTGAGTGATGAACGCGATTCCATTGGGATTACATTTTTACGCTTGGATAAGCGTCGCCGCCGCCGCAATTTTCGTTTGAAATCTATTACATCCATCGAGAAGAAAAAGATCGATCAGATCGAGAGGATTCTTAGTGGATCCTGGCGTGGATCCGTATGGCTTGGCAGCACGAACTACTCTAACCCACTTTTACAAACAGGTTTATGCTGCTTCCACTGTGTAACGGTGATCAAGCAGAGATCGTCGACGTATGCAAGAATGACTTTTCTTAGCTTTAATTTTCCTCTACGCACATGCATATGTGTTATACATATTTATAACATTTTTGGTACATCCCAAACTAGTCAATCCAATCACACACGTTTACTCGATGATTATTAATGCAATCTTTTTTTTGACAATGAGACAATTTATTCAACTCGGTGTTATAAGATAACAGAAATAAAGAAGAAAAAGAAGAAAAAGAAGAAAAAGAAGAAAAATAAACGATCGTAATCGCAATCAAATTATCATCCTTAGTATGATCCTTGAAGTAAAATGTAGACGGTCGCTATAGTTTATCACAGAACCTATATTTACGTTTCCGATGCTTTTGCTTCGCGGTTTGACTCCGCGGTTTGACTCAGTTTCTTCATAACGCATATATAGATATTCAAAAGAAATAGAAATGATAATATTTGTCTTGCTTTAGGTGGAGTGCCGACAACCACGACTTAAGAGATGGTCATCGTTACGCGGGTAAGATCTTCCTTTTGTTTTATTATTTAAGTTTACCATTCTTAATGATAAATCGATGAATCGTCGAAACGAGAAGATAATATAAACAAAAATAAAACAAAGTTTTGAACAGGAGAAGTAAGAAAATATCTGTATCTTTTTGAAAAACATATAGAAAGATACCTATAGAAAAGCGCGATTGGTTAATTAGGCATAGTTAACGGTCCTTTACTACCGCGCTAATGCCCTGTACAACACCACCTCGGAATCGTTCGCACGAACGATCTAGCTGTCTGTCTAGCTAGCTGTCGTCTAACGGTACGAGGAGTCGTCTGCCGGACGTGCCTTTGATTCGTGCCTTTGATTCGTGCCTTTAATTCGTACCTTCCAATTTGTATCTTATGTTTTTTCTCTATTTGTTTTCAATAAATAACTGTTGAAACTCTTTAACTCTTAACTCGCTCGATACAAAAATCGTGTTAAATCAAACTTGTTATCATATGATGCTTCTTCCTTCGCCCTTTTCTCTCCTCTCTTTGTGTTTGATCACTTTTTGATAAAGACCAAAAGCTTTAGCGATAAAGAGTTTATCGTTATTTTTTTTCTTTAGCAAGACAAGAACAATGATAATAATTCACAATTGATAATTCTTCGAATTAGAAGCAGCAGCAACAACTACTACCTACCTCTAGCTATAAGGTAGTTAATAGCTGCATTCAACGTTATAACATATAAGCGTAATTTCCTCTACACCCTTGTCATTATCATGTGTGAATTAGTTTTAGTATTTAGTAATTAATATTTACTATTAATTCAAGTAAACAGGTTTATAAAGAAGACAAAAAAATGGATGAGTGGCGTGGACGCGTAGGCATTTGCAAATTAACAAGCGAATTTATTGTTCTTTGTTCATTTTTGTATATTGATGTGTTGATTTTCAGGGAGATTACATATGGATCGAACCGATATCGGGAAGAGAATTTGACGTTGCGATTGGAGCACGGGTTATTTCGGCAGAAGGTAGACGGATCCAAGTTAAGGACGACGATAATAAGGTGTGAACACAGAGTTAGAATTATTCTTTTATATATTCTTCTTCTCACAGGTTCTTTTGTTGAAGAAACTCTTTTGTATTTTTCACCTTTATTTTCGACAGGAACAATGGCTGACTCCGGAGAGACGAATAAAGGCTATGCACGCCACGTCAGTGCAAGGTGTCGAAGATATGATCAGTTTAGGAGACCTCCATGAAGCTGGCATTTTGAGAAATTTGCTGATACGTTACAATGAGAATCTCATTTATGTTAGTAATTGGTATTTTATACATTCCTCCATAGTACGTTAATAAATCGTTCGACTTGTTAATTGTTTAAAACTAAATGAGGACAAAACAAATATGAAACTGATAAAACTTTGAAACTTGTTACAGACTTACACCGGCTCCATATTGGTTGCCGTAAATCCATATCAGATATTGCCTATTTACACCGCGGAACAAATAAAGCTCTACAAGGATCGCAAAATTGGAGAACTTCCGCCTCACATATTTGCTATCGGTGATAATAGTTATGCACACATGAACAGATACGGT